AATATTAAAAGGAATTTTGAATAAAAGTAATGAAATAAGTAACAAACATAAGTCCAGATATACAAAGAACACTGACAGTGTAATTACATGATTAATTTGCGTACTTCAGTATGGATTTGTTGACATGGTATTTCCGGTGTTGCGTGCTCACGGCAATGTCTTTCCATGGGGGGAAAAAACATCCAAACTCATTCTTCGTGTATAATGCGCACCCCCTTCTACACAGCTGTGCTTTTTGGGAAAAAAGTGTGCACTATACTCAAGAAAATACGGTATCTTACGCTTACTCTATCCAGAAGTTTTCGTTCTTTGCCTCTCCTCGGTGCTGAAGATTCTGAAATCACGGATTTCATTTTAATCGCATCGGATGGTTTCTTCCCGATTAATCTCGTTACTTCATTATTCAGCACTGATACAACAGCTCATAATCGTGTCACCCATTCGGTTGATCTCAATCATTCTGATTTCATTTCGATCCCATACTGATATCCAAACAAACGTTCCACTAATGTCCGGTTAAAATTTTCACTACGGTGGGCCTCTTTTTCACCACGCCTGATTTCGACATCGTGCTTTGTTACACAGTTTAGTTACCGATCCCATAAACCCGCGACCAGGATCTACTTGAAATAACTTAGGCCATTTTATTGGTCCGCGTTTATATATGCGGCTCAGTGCATTAGCTACTTCTGTTGAATCTTTCGAGGTTAATGGCTCAGCCTCTTTGTATCGACTTGCCACATCCACTATGGTTAAAGCGTATTTATACGTTTTGCGTCTTACCTTATCGTGGGGAAGAAACAAGAGGTCAGCCTGATGAACTTCATTCGTTGTAAAAATATCAAACTTCTTCCTCGGTATATAACGCAGTGCTGGTAAGTATATTTGCCACATCGCTTGATTCTTTAACCAATCCTTGGCCACATCTTTAGATACCTTAGCCGCGGTGGCTAATTTTTTCATTGCTCCTATACCTTTCCAATATCCTCGTGGGCTATAGTAAATTTTATCCATTATTAATTAATATTGATGTTTCTTTTAATACGACTCATGACGATCGTTGAATCGCATCAGCGTTTACACATAAAAAATTCCATCTGTAGTAGCAGTATAGGTATATAAATCTGACTCCAGTTGAAGTGAGCCAGAACCCCCATTACCTATACTACTCTAGAGAAAGGTGGAAACAGATGTATATGTCCCAAACGAATGACCTTAGAAACCCACAATCAAGGAATTGGTAAATCATAATTATAATTCTTTGGTGTTGTTCCCTTTAGCAATCATCTGGAACAGTTTCAGATTAAAATGGTTTTGCATCTTCAATAAGTTTATATTTATTAAATATGTACCGTATTCAAGTAATAAGCACCCAGGGCGCTCTCAAAATTAGAAATATGGGGTTCTTATTAGAATATTATTTTGGTGAACAGAGTCGAAAGATAAATTTTGTGGTTTATGCTGCCAGCCTAAAATGTTTATATACGACAGATATATTTTTCCAGAATTTAATTGCCCATAATTAAGGGTGCACACGCGTTCATATTATACGCAAATAAATAAAGTCTTTTGTACACTGATCAATCGGAAGGGGTGCTAATTTGGATTGTTCACTAGCCAATGAATTAGCAAATATCGCCATGGGCGCTTATTAGAGCAGGGCGGGGCGCTTATTCGAATACGGTAATCATTTTCTTATGTAGACAGTCCCTCCTCCCGATGGTATAGTGAATGAGTGAGTATAGTTTTAAGCCGCTTTAAGCAATATTCCAGCAATATTACAGAGGGGGACACGAGAGATGGGCTTCACACATTGTACTCACGTGGGGAATCGAACTTGGGTCTTCAGCGTGCCGATCGAACGCTTTAACCATAAGGCTACCCAACCACCCTTTTTTATAGAAACACTTGAAATAAAGTTCAGAATACATATGATATGATTTACTTTCATCAATTTATTTTATAATGCATTTGAAGATCAATCATGCAATCTGACAAGTAAAATTAATCTCCAGTACCATAAATGTTTATTTGATAGACAGTTATGAAAACATATGTAACTTGTAAGGTTACTAAATTACATCAGTGATATTGAACCATGTCCACAATATTTTAAGAAGCATTCAAACCAATAGTAATTAACATGATAAACACATCATTTCATAATTCATAACACATCATTTCATTTGATAAAAAAATATAAACTGTCTTGGTTATTATTGAATTATTAACAGGTTATAAAGAATATGCATATATGATGAACATAAGTTGCCTTTTATATAGGCATCCATCCAGGTTGAATGACAAAAATATTTACTTAAATGGTATGATATTTTTTTAATTGTGCGACTAACAAAAGACACTTTTTCATTTCAGAATCTATCTAAACCTCATAAACAAGAGGTTCACTTGTGGGATTTGCAGAAATAGTTGAAGAATCAGAGAAAAGTTATTCCATCTTGTGTCGTCGAGGTGATTCGTGAACGATTTCCATCTGATGTATGTACTGTTTTCTCTATGCTCACTAAAATAAACTTTTTTCATTGAAATCTTGTTTTAATGGTCTCGGCCTACAATCAGCCTTTGCTGTTTCTTTTAATAAGTGTCTGTAATACAGGGTGGCTGATGCTGGATGAGGGAGTTGTTGGCAAGGGCAAAGGAGGGGGAAAAGACTGAAAATATAGCACAAGCACTGGCTAAATGCTTAGTGTTAGTGCAGTGGTTGACTATTTCAAAAGTACAGTTCTCTTGTCTGAAGCAATGTACCTCACAAGACACATTAATATTTGATTACTTGTAGCTCGGCATGAAAATAAACACAATTTGCATACAATGAAACGGATCTCAAGACAACATCGCGGATATTCATGATGATCTAGTGAAACTATGAACAAATATCACCTTACTCCTGCTAAAACACATTTCTTAAATGTTACTGTGGTTAGATTTTATCTGTTTAATAACTAAACAGCAAACTTTTCTGAGTTACTTCAACTTTATGGCATTTGTTTACAAAAACACCCCTGTCAGGGGGTCTTGATGAGAGTGCTGTCCCTTTAGCCTGTTTCCATATAAGGATCGTACACCATCTGCTTCCAATCAGTTTCAGAACCAGCAGGTATAAACTCTCACAGAACACAACAGCAACTCAGTAAGAGTCAATATGCGCAACACAATGGAAGGAATAAGCTCAATTAATACAACGGACCCTTCCAACCATCATCATGAATCTTACAGTTTGTTATCCATGCATTGTTGTCTTATCAGTCACGATTTTGGAAAATGAAATAGTTTTAGAGAAATTGTGTTTAGCGTTGTATTTTGAACAGTGGGCACAGAACAAAACAATAGGCATCTGAGAAGATAGAATCACACACCTGTACCTTCACCACGTGAAACAGGTGTAATAAAGTCTTATGACGTCATTCCTTTATCAACTGGCACCAATGACGTCATATTGCAAGGGGCATAAGCCATGATATGTTAATTATGGAAATAAAACATGAACCGATTTAATGAATAAAATAAATTAGATACTTTTGATATTTTTATTGTTTTGCCTCTGAAACTACTAGGTAAATACTTTTCATGATGAAAAAGTACAAGAAAAACAGGTTTATTTTCATGTGACCTTTAATGCATCACACAGTATTTTCAATATGGATACCTATAAAGTGGACATCAGATCTGATTTCCATGAGGATAATGTAGCTTGGGTCCTCCATGCAAGGTCACAGCTTCATAGGTCTTGTGATGTCTAATCATAAGGTCACTTGTACTTTCACTTAATGTCAGTTAATCATACACTGAAATTGTGTCCATGCAAATGAAGCAATACTGGGCAGAATCAGAATTCTAACAAGAAAGTCAACAAGCAAATTTATGTTCCAGCTGTCTAACTGTGTCAGCAACAATGTCATCCAAATAGGAGAACCAGACTTGTACATTTGCCAAGTGGTGTCAACCCACAGTAAGTAAATTTAATCAGCAGTGAATTTATCAGATCACAGAGGTAGCCTTCAATCCTTTTTTAGTTAATATCCAGTTAGATTTGTTGTGTCAATAAAAATGACAGATATAATGGGTACATGGGAGTTCATCCTTTCATGCACAGTTGTAGCTTGGCAACAAAACACTTATCCTTGTAAAATATAATTGATAAGACCTACTGAAAGGCATTGATGTAGGTTGTGAAAATAAGATAATTGCAAGCAAAGCGCACAGATCAAGAGCTGGCATTCAACTAATACAACCATGACAATGTGCCCATCAGTGGACTGCAGCACGGAGCAGCCGACGAGCCCGCAGTTCATGCATATGGTTTACATTAACAAGCCAATTACCTCTTGGGTTATGCTGTTCACAATCAGACAACAACATATTGGAAACAAGTACAGATTAAAAATCAGAATATGTCAAGGGCAACAGACGTCGATATATGTCATAAACGCTGAAACACCTGAATTAAATACCTTAATAACTATTCCGCACTGGATAATTCAAGGAACCTATCTGAGCATTGTAGGTGAGGAAATTATGAAATTTGGCATGACAGCGTACCACTTGACAGTTTTTAGTTGAAACATCTGCGCCATATGTTTACCCAATAACCAATGGCAACAACACCACACGAATCATAACACAAATTAAATATTTGTATAATTCCCGGAGAGAGACCGGCTGTGTGGTGTCCCTAATATCTCCTCATCATCATCTGAACCCTTTTCCTGTCCTCAACACACACACACACACACACACACACACCGGTTCCCCACACGCAATAACGTGCGCACACGTACATGTCCACTGTTTATTAAAATGTATCTATTGCCACATTCATAAGCTCAACCTTTTTTACACGGACCTCTCCACGACGTATGTAGCAAATATTAAATTATGTAGCCAATGCCTTGGAGCAATAAGCATTTGTATAGTGCTTTATTATGAAACAGAAATGATGGACTGACTAACCTGAAGAGATAATATATATCATACCTTACCTTGGAATACACATCAGCCATTACTAGTTCCGTTTCGAGAATCATGGTAATAATCCCGAACATTCCGAACACAAGACAATAATCTGATATTTTTTTTCTCTTTTCATACAACGCCTTCCTCTTCCCAAGTCTGTATCCAACATTTTTCTGTCTGGCTTTGTGATGACTTCGCTCTGCCTCGGAATATTTCTGATAATCCGTTATGCCAACGAGAGCCACACCTGCCTCTTCTGTCGAGGCATAGCTCATTTTGGACGATGTCGGCAAAGACTGCATTGAAGTAGGTTTCTGCAGTTGTTTGAAAGAGGTGATGGCTCCGTTAACCCTCATGTAGTCAGCACCAATATCCGATATTGCCGACTCTTTCACTTTGTGTTTAATGTCCTCAGCTCTACTACACTCGGGTTCGCTGTGCGATCTACCGTCCTCCTCTCCTCGCCCGCCATTTAGCGGCAATATACGTTCCATCTGAGCGCGCGGGCGTGGATTTGTTTTCATAGTACTGTGAGCGCGGGGCGCTAGAGCTACACGGCAAGCGGTGTCACACGTTGGAAGGCTGTTTTTTTCATCAGAACAGAAGCTATAATTTTGGAGTTCAATATCAGGAGATGTGTAGCCACGGTTAACTCTGCCATCTTGATTGCGAGGACCGGGTAGAGGGGGGAAAGTTAGCTCGGGGAAATGTGGCGGTGTTGTCGTCTCTGCCATGTCATTCTGTGATTCCAGCAGCGACGTATCGCCAGCATCTATTATAGTTTCGATCCCCGAGCCACGACTGTCTGAAAGCCCAGTGAGCGACGGATGCTGTAGATACTCTGTCGAGTCAAGTCGTGCACGCTCATTGGCTGCTTCCACCAATACAAGCGACATATTTAAATATCATATAGAATTGTGGAATCGATCGACGACTCTCACTATAACAGAAAACAAAGCATTTGTAGTAGCGCTCTCAGGATTTAGGTTCTGTCGTCATCATTGAAATGGGAGGAAGGTTCAAATAGAGCTGACGGCTTATAGAGCATATAACTCTCCATTGCAATGTTTCACCATTGTAATTTTATAGAAACCATCTAGATACCAGATACACTGTTGACAATTTATTTAAAATCGCCTTTGATACACCAGTATATGTTCTCACGAACCACTAGAAAATGTTGCTTCCTGTCAGAAATATCCGTGATTGAGTTACTAAATGTAAACTTTCAAATATAAACGTCAACTTACGAATAATGTATATATTACAAATATCAACGTCAACGTCATCAGACCACAATGTGTCTGTTGTGCAGCCTCTAGTGCACACAAGCTCCACTGATATACTAAGGAATTTGCGGAATCGTTCTCGTTTCGTTTGTCCGGACGTATTGGCAATGATGAAGGATGGTTGTTGTGCGTTTCAGTTCATATCTCACCTACATTCATAAGCTTCCAGTAATACAACATATCCCGTTCTAATACTAAGGTATACATAGTTTCATAAGCGACTTTAAATGCAGTTATTGAATCATATTCTGTCCCAACGTCATATTGTGTGCTGATATATCATTTCAACAAACAACTTGAAATCCCCCGAGGTATGTAGACGTGACGTTTACATTACCGAATACTGTACAGCTGCATCTGAAAAGAAAATAGTCTTTTAAGTAAGTATTTTCATTTTGAAGAACTGAAGATGACATCCAGAAGTCAGTTGAATGTAATTCTGGCCCATCTTTTAATAAGGTGTATCTTTGGTCTTGGTGACAAGTTCGAATTGTTTAATTATTCTCTCATTCTCTCTCTCTCAATTAAAACTGTGTTCAATCTTACTCCACTTATTTAATTATTTCTATATTTTGCCTGAGAGTTAGAACTCTACTGTGCTTTATATTACTACCGATCTGTTAGGCTCGCTGACTTGGTTGATACATGTCATCGATCCCACTTATGTGGATCGATGCTCATGATGTCAATCACTGGATTGTCTGGTCCAGACTCGATTATTTACAGACCACCGTCATATAGCCGGAATATTGCTGAGTGTTGCGTTAAACAACAAACAAACTACCGATCTTTGTGGGAATTATACCCACAAGGGTACATGGTTGAACTATTTCAGATGCCATGTTACATTTTCACTCGCTCTCATTTAACCAGCATTGCACAAATTGAAATAGCATCAACCTGGGATTGTTTCATGTTGAAGTTGTTTGGGATTATGCAGGCTCTTACACTCATTGTGAAGTCGAGTGAGTGAGTCAGCATTATTTCAGACATATTATGACGAGATAAAGGAATGCATAAATATTTCTAAAGACCTTTAAACAAAGGACTATAACACAACTTATAAAATATCACATATTTGTATACACATTGAAATAAGTATCGCACCACCCAACTATTATATAGGGTATTATTATATCATTGTAGGGCTGCAGCACCTGTATGAACGTGTTCCCCTCGAGGTAAAAATAAAGCTTGAAGATACCGTCATTACAGTTTGATAAGTTGAAAAAGCAATTGATTTCTCTGTGATAATTCACGGTGGGGCCTCCGCAACTGACATTAACAGAGAGCTGGCAAATTATTGGAATGCGGAATGCCGGTGTGTCTCTCGAGCCATGTCGGTCATTACCCATCCACCATTAACCGATTGGACAGGAAACACCAGCAAACGAATGACGTCAAGGACTGTACGTCAGCGTTCAGGGCGACATCGTGTGGCAACTAAGAAGGAAGATGCAGCTCTTCTGAGACTAAACAGACGTCATCCTTTCACATCAAGAAGCGAGTTGAAACGAAGGTGGTCACCACATCGTGGTGACACAACAGTACGAAATCGGCTCAAATCAGCTGGATATAATGTCAGAGGACCTGTCAGGTGTCCGTTGTTATGACGTGATCATAAGTCTGCACGACTGGCATGGTGACAAGCTCTTTCGGACGAGAGTCAGGTTCTTTTGTTTACGACTGATGCAGAGCTTTGGCGTCGCAAAAAACACAGCATGTGCTCAAAAAACATTGTAGAGCAAGTTCCGTATGGTGTAGGCATAGTATGGGCATGTGTGTCATATGACTGTAAACTCGAGCTTGTCTCTGTCACAAACAGTCTGAATGGACAATGGTACCTTACGGACATCTTAAACCGGGTTGTTGTACCACATTTTTATCACCACCCTCCCTTAGGGCTCAGTCACACATTCAGGATTTTTACTGCCGTCCTTGATGGGACCATTCCCGATTAATATTTGTCATAAGTCTGATCAAGATCCTGTGATTCGTGGCGGGAAATTCACAAACAATCAGATATTGTTCAGGAAGCTTCCCGATTCAGCCGTTTCCAGCCGAATTGGTCCCGATTCTCCCGTTCTCAATCCGAATCTGATCCAATTTGTAGCTTCCGCATGTTAAAAAAATGACCGAATCTGTCCCGACAGCGCCCCGATTTCCCGAATGCGATCCGCCAGAGATCCGACAGTGACCGGACATTGAACCGACAAAGACAGTTCGCATTCGGCGCAATCTTGACTCAATCGACAAGAAACGGCAACGAACAATTCATGCACGTTCATCACGACAGCGTCCCAATCCACAGGGCACCGTCCAGACAACACAGGACATTGTTACGATTTTGATCCGATACAGCAGAATCTGTCACGATAAAGTCACGATTGTAATCCGCCTTGGCAAAATCGGCTGAGTTGCCCGAATGTTACGGGACGCACCATAATGTCGGGAGTGCTTGGCCGACCTCACTGGACCTTTCCCGATCCGTAGGACTCTGTTACAAACGTACACGACTGCGTTCAGACAATGATAGGACACTCCAGATCATTGAGGATAGTAATACGACTTTTTCACCTTTCGTGTCGTAACACTGTCTGATCTCAAAAGGGAGCCATAATCGGCACTGTGTGAACCTGGCCTGCATAGACCACAAGCTTGGTCACACCATGCATGTGTCGTTGTCGATTTCCTACGTCAGGGAGTAGGTAATATCCACGCTGGCCTGCCAGGAGTCCAGATCTCAATCCCATAGAGCATGATTGTGACATTATCGGTTGTAGTGTGTCAAAGGAATCCCCCAGTGCAAAGTCCACGATTTGGACCAACCCTGCGCCAGGTATTGAACAGATGTACCTGGGCGTCAACTTCAAGGTCTTTTACAGACAATGAGGCAGAGGGTTCGTGATGTTATCCTGGTCGGCGGGGTTTACACCCGATACTGACATAGTGTTCTGGTATTGAAACTAGTGTCATTTGTTGAGGATTGGACACCAGAACCAGAAGCATTTCATAACGTGATTATGCGTCATTTTTCTGCCTTGTATTGCCCTTCACATAAAAGTATTGAAAGAGCTTTTCTGAGTTCATCTTTATCTTTCATATACTCAAGAAGTTTAATGTATGCAGATAGTGCCGTACATTGACGCTTGTATACGCACATTTGAAATTGTGGATGGTAACAGTAGTACTGTGAAAAATATGGAGTGTTGCAATACCATTTCCTTGTGTATATTTAAGGGGTCCAAATCTAACACCCATTATCTTAAAAAAGGGGATGAACTGATCGGATAGTATTATAAATAAACCGGATAAAACCTTGGCATTCTTTCTCATCAAACTATGTACTCAAATTAAACAATTATCAAATGCAACAAGAGAAATCAAATAATGGGGAAGATGACAATGAAATCTTTTCATGAGCTTCATACTGCCCTTAGACATGATACTGCTACAGGCTTTGATAACCTACATTATCATCTCGTAAAGCACTTTCCAGTATCTTGTTTAAACCCTTCTCCCATTTTTTGTTGATATCTGGCTAACAGGTAAGTGTCCTTCTTCTTGGCGTGATGTCACAGTTGTCCCCATACTAACACCTTGACGTGAGCATACTGATCCCTCAAATTATAGACCAATTTCATTGACCAGTTGCATTTTCAAAACCATGGTACGCATGATAAACAATAGATTAACATGGCACTTGGAATCTAATAATGTGATCACACATATTGACTTTTTGTAGATACAAAATAAGATTATAAACAACCAAGGAGCAGTGTCTATCTTTTTCGATCTTGAAAACGCATATGACACATCATGGAAACGTGTGTTCTTTTGTCCAAGGGCGTTGTTTCGGCCCTCGGATGGTAGCTCAGGGTGATGACGGAAGACAAAACTCAGGGGTGAAGTTTAGACGACAGCAGCCATATTTATTGTTGATGGTTGAAATGACATTCGATAAGGTACATGTTGATAATAACGTGACAGAACGCACACCGGGACCGAGTGGCCAATGTTCCCGGGTGGGAGAACCGTTCTGTCACTTACCTTCTGGCTCTTCTCTAGGCTGTCTCTCTCTGACTGACCATGTCAGTCGGGTTTTGTAGAGCGAGGTATTACGTAACGTGTGGCAAGGTCATTGTCCCACGTGTATGTATAGACGTAAGATCCGGCGACGTTAGGAGGTGTTAATTGAAATTTATAGATAGCCCTGGAGATTAAGGGTCCTGCCCGGAGGGGCTTATGATAAGAGGGGATACGTCGAATGTTTGCTGAATATTTTAAACAGACAAAGGGCATAGAATTTCGGTGCACTTGGAAACATGTTGAACCAGTTAGGTATTTAGATAAATGAAATATTAAATAAAAGTATTTAAATGGTTTGCACTATAACAATACCCCTGAACGTCGTGGAGCTTTTGTCCTCAAAAGCTTTTTAAAAATAATGACAATATGTAGTACAAGTACAGATCAATGCAAATGACATCGACAGGTTGACAATTAGTTGCTTCATGCAGTACACTTGACTGAGATGAATGAGATGACATTAGATAAGA